CGGTGCTCCCGGGGCCGCCGAGGGGGGGCGAGGGCTCCTCATACCCCGACCCGCCCCCCCTTCCTCGGTGCTCGGGGCCCGGCCGGGGCTGCTCGCCCCGGAGGGACACCGGGGGCCGTGTCCTTGTTGTGCCACGGCAAGGACGGCGGCGGCCACCGGTGCCCGGTGCCCGGTTCTCCTTGGAGGGAGAGCCCAGCCCTCCCTCCGCCTTGACATAAACCGTTTACCGGGCGCCTGGGCTGGATCTCGGCTCAATTAGGAGAACAAAAGCTGACGGGAGAAGCGCAGCCAGGCAGGGCTGCAGCCCCGCACCCCCCCCGGGACCCCCCCACTGCCCCGGGGAGAGCCCCCTCCTCCTGCTGCGGCCGGGGGGAGGGCACGGGGCCAGGGCTGAGCCGGGAGGGAAGTGGGTGCCCGGTCTGGTCCAGGGTCCCCACCTCGGGGTGCTGCAACCGGCGAGGGTTTGGTGGGATGGAGGGTTGGCACACACCAGGATGGAGGGTCAGCACACACCAGGATGGAGGGTCAGCACACACTGGGATGGAGGGTTGGCACACACTGGGATGGAGGGTCGGCACACACTGGGATGGAGGGTCAGCACACACCAGGATGGAGGGTTGGCACACACCAGGATGGAGGGTTGGCACACACCGGGATGAAGGGTCAGCACACACCGGGATGGAGGGTCAGCACACACTGGGATGGAGGGTCGGCACACACCGGGCAGCCGTGGGTGCAGAGGGGCTGTGGGGCTGTGGGTGAGGTCCCTGCTCAGGATGTCCCACCCTGGTCTGCCCATCGCTGGGGCTGGGCCCCAATTTTTACAGGGAGGGTGGTCAGACCCCGCCCCAGGTTGCCCAAAGGTGGGAGATGCCCCATCCTGGGAGATGCCCCATCCCTGGAGACACCCCGGGCCAGGCTGGATGGGACTCTGAGCAACCTGGTCTGGCTGGAGATGTCCCTGCCCATGGCAGGAGGTTGGATTTGATGGCCTTTAAATGTCCCCTCCCACCCAAACCATTCTGTTCTGAGCCGAGCCGGGCTGGGCCAGGGGGTCTCCAGGCCTGGGACGTGGCTGGCAGCAGCTGGGGGTCCACAGTGAGTGCCCTGGGGCACCTCCACTGGCATCTCCCCCTTTGTCTGGGGAGTGGGGGAGCCTCGTGCTGCCCATCACCAGTCCCAGCACCACCGGGAGCTGTGCCCGGAGCGGGAGCGGTGCCAGGGCTGGCTCCAGATGGCACAGCCACCCCCGGGGGACAGGGCCTGCGGGCATGGAGGGGTGGCACAGAGGGGCAGGAGAGGTGGTGGGTCACCGTGGCAGCAGGCAGAGACCCCGGGAGTGGGAGCAGCACCAGGGTTATGTCCTATGGGGGTCCCACATGGCACCCCCCAGCCCAAAAACCCCGGCACCTGCAGTGCAGCACGACCCCGCGCGGACCCTTCCCCGCAGCCGCCGCGGGGACGCTAAAAATAGCCAGCACCGGCTTCTCGCTGCCACCGCGGTGCTAAATATAGCTCACATCGACCGGGCAGCGGGACCGGGAGAGCGGGAGGGGAGCACGGCCCCCCCACACCCCCCCCCCAAAAGCCACGGGGGGGATGCCGGGAGCGAGCCAGGCCTGGGAATCCATATGGGAATCCGTATGGAAACAGCCCCCCCGAGCACCGGGGAAAGGCTGGGCCAGGGCTGAGGATGGGGCTGGATCCCCCTCCTGGGGAACCCCCCCTGCCCCCCCCCCGGTGCTGGGGTTCCCCGAGTGGGTAGATCCAGTGCCCACGGGGCGGGGTTTTCCCCCCCCCCCTTTCCCTCCCCGCACTCCCACCGGCAGC